GCATATTTATTAATTTTAAATTAAAAAGTTATTAAAAATTTGGAAAATAGAAATGATATAATGTACATGCCAAAAAAAAAAAAAAAAGAAAGAAAGAAAGAAAGAAAAGAAAGAAAGAAAGAAAGACACATGCGGAATTCAAAACCACAGAGGAGGCAAAACTGGCCATATTTTGAAAATATGGGCTTAGTAAACTTATGAAATTAAAATAAATAAATAAATAAAAAGATAAATTAATTTACATCGACAAAAAATTTTCCAAGACTGCTTCTAATTAAAAAAAGGTTATAAAAGGAAAAAGATATTTGGCAAATATTTATTATTCATGTGATCTAAACCACCTTTTTTTTTTCCCAACTTCGACTAATTTCGGGGATATATTCTCTGCTAGAGCAGACCATTTTGAGCACTTCGTTGCATTTTTTTATATACTTATGTGTTTAGAAATTTGCCTATGTTTACGTTCGTCAAAAACCGCCTTAATTTAACCGCCTTAACCATTTAAGTTTTATTTTTCTCCCAATGGCAGACACTTACCTATACCGGCATTGGTCCACTATTAGGCTTAGAGGTGGTAGCCATTTTACTGTAGAGACACCTAATAGGCGGCCGCTGTTACCTCCTGTGAAGCGGCAGACAATTTTACATCCATGCCTTCTCCGGGATTCGAACCCTGGTCTTTCGTCATCGCAGTCAGGCTCCCCTAACCACTATACCGTCTGTGCGGCAGACTCATTTATATTAGCGGAACTTTGAGCCCAAGAAACATGCACGAACTTGATGGTTCAGCTTGACGGCTTTTTAATGGAATTAATTTGACGCACTGATAAGTTATTTTACTCTCGAAATTTTGAATGACATTACCGTCAAACCTGTTTATTTGGTTTATGCAATAAATGAATAGGTACTCAAATTTATATCGAAAAGATTAAGTGCATTTTATATCCCGTCAGCAAAGACATCAAGCTCGCCTGTGTTTCTTGGTCCAAAATTCTGTTAGTGTAAACGAGGCTTTAAATTGGTACGTGTGGTTCTTAGGCACAAAATTTGCGTTAAACTCGCCTTAACCGGTGTATGTAACAGAAATCAAACGTCGGACATTGGACATCGCTGGTGGCTTTTGAAGCATCAACCGCTAGAAGTTTTGACCTTTAGTTGGCGCTGTGCTCTGAGGCCTTTGGCTGGAAGAATAAGCGCTTTTGCACAACTTAGATTAGTATCTAAGCTAAGCAAACACGAAAATGTTATTTGGTATATGAGAAATGCATAATGAAGTTGAAACTTAATAAACGTAGAAGAAGTAAATTATATATCAAGAATTTGTATTCTTGCGATGAGGACTTTGAAAATTATTTTCGAAGTTTAAATGCGTTGATACTCGAATTATGAAAATGCGTTGAGAGTAATAATATGGATTGAAGTAAGGTACAACAAAGTCCTGTTCCCGCTTTGGAGAATTCAAACAAAAGTCCTAATACTTTGCCAGTTAAATCACAGTCTTCAGGCTCTATTGCTTTCATGAGATTTATTAACTATGACCAGGAAGAAAAATGAGGTTATTGCACTTTTGGCCTGCGTTGGCGAAGTTTAATATGCAGGGTTATGATGAATAGTAAGATGATGCTTGAATGGATGCACAATTGTTGGATCATAGTTTGCGAGTTGTGCTATATGATGATGTTTTGAATTTTGTTCACTTCTGAAAAAATTATTCGCGGCCATCAGTAAATAATCTTGGGCATGAGGAATTTTTAAATCCTGATGTAACTGTTGATTTCTGACAAACCACGGTGAATTTGTTAGGCTTCTAAGGATTTTATTTTGGAGGACGGTAATCTTTCGACTATAATATTTTGGCGCGGTGGCCCAACACGGTGCTGCACAAAAAAGTATTGGCCGAATTAGCACTAGATATAAAGTTCTCTCAATATTGTGATTCAATTTTGATTTTCGCCCTATTAAATTGTAGATGGACAGGAAGGCAGCGTTGGCTTTGCTCAAAGCATATGCCACATGGTCTTTAAACGTTAATTGTTCAATTGTTCATCTAGAATGATTCCTAGATATTTTGTTGAACTGACAACTGGAAGTGGAGAATTATGTATTGTAATGGGAATATTAACTGGCTGATTTTTACGATACCTTCTAAATAGGAGGATATTGCTCTTGCTGATGTTTATTTTGAATTTCCATAATTTACGCCAGAGCTTTCTGAAATGTTTGATTTTTTATATATGAACTGATTAATCTAATAATTCCTTGAGGTATCATTTTGTAAATTTAAGGTCTCATTCAATTGAAACAGCGATGATCGCTCAAACAGCGATCGTTGTATCCAGCATTAGCGATCACTTTTGAAAACGAGTGATTTTTTGTATTCATTTGAAACACTTCCCTACCAGTCGAACTCGTAGGGGTTGCCAGAGGTTACTTGATGCGCGATGCTGTTTGTCACGTGGTCGGAAGTTGCGTTTGTTTCGAAATAACCAATGAAAGAGCTACCAGATGTGCAGGTTGACTCCTCGTAACCGTTCTTTAGGGTTGCAGTTCACGTTTGGTGTGCCATCTTTGGCTTTTCAGCGCTATTGTTTCAAATTTTTATCTATGAAAATTCTTCAAAGGTATTATTTTATTTTAATTCCTTTATGAAAACAGCTAACCTAAAAGACACATTCCATTCACATAAATCATATACATGTGAAAAATATAGGTCAAGTAAGTTTTACGTGCATACTGAAAAAAAAAGTGATTCAAAAGACCTTTTAAAGCAAAAGAAAAGAAAAATGTAACCTAGTTCTATTAACAACTCAAAAAATACAATGTAATATATTCTAAAAGGAAAATTATATAATACACAATGATGTAGATTACATATATTTAATAAATACATAAAACTCTATAATGACTCTAATGTTCATAACTATATAATAAACGCAAACCCAACACATATCACATCATGGTACATAACACTGCTATGAAAGGAAGAATTTTTTAATTAGAAACATACCTTTTATATTTATTTGATAACATAGACGAAATAAAATATAAAGATGACAAGAAGTTATGAAAACACGTTATGCAACTTAAGAAACAGTAGGAAGCCTTTTAAGTTATTGCAATATCATAAGGCACTGATTAGGAAGTAAATATCATTTTTTCATTCTTTTACATCAGTAATACTTTTTTCATTAAAAACTTTAGCAGTGAAAGCCAAAACAAATTTATTATTGGCGCCTCTGATGCAAGGTCACACAAAAATAAACTTGATTTAGCAAATTTCTAAAACATTAAAATCAAAAATAGTAAATTACAGTAACATATATTATTAAATTATTTTAATTACACATAAAAAATTGTCTGAATTAAATTAAGAATCACTGACTAAGCTTGTACAGCATTTTAAAACATATTTTATGTTGATACATTGGAAATAAATTGACAGCAATCGCAGTTAAATGAAAGAGCTGGAAATACAGTCTACATGATGTATAAATACAGTCAAAATTATTCGTTAAATACCTAAATTGATGCTTACCTTCTTCAAAATGAATATAAATACGATATAATAATGTTACTTTAAGGGAAACATTATATAATGCATAATTTCAATCATATTATCCAATGTTTACATTTTTTTTTTTTACATTGGAGGCCGACTGACAGATTTGGTGACAATATAATAAGGTCAAAAAATAACATACGATTTTAAACCATGAATTCCCGCATTAAAATTTAAATAAAAAGTGCACTTCATAGTTATAATCACGCACAAAATTGAAATCAAATGTATAATATAATTATTTAAACTTTGTCCTTTCGCGATAATAACAATAAAGAAAATCACATCAGCATCTACTTATCGCCGTCGGTAAATTGTGTATTGACTATACACATTCTGATATTCATTTTGTACATATAAATCAGTTTGTCATTAATTAGTAATACTTAAATGATAATACACATTTCGCTTAAACATGAACACTTATTTTTTTAACAATTATGAAAACATACGAAGCTGAACTTACTTCAAAAGTGCACGGTCTTGCGATCGGAATCTATTCCAATGGACAAGAATTAATTACCCATTTTCTTCGTATTTCTTTATTTCTCGGGAAACAGAACATACTAAAGTTATTTCTGGAACGATATGAATAATTTGATGCAGTGCATCCACGCATATTTCTCTGAATTAGGTAGCAATCCATCAACACAAATGTAAACAACACAACGCTAAATCAATGTCCACTAGCAACAAGTGCACTTAATTTGGATACAACACAGATGATGTGTCCGCTGCCCATGCTAGAATCCTTATACACCCTATACTTTGATATAAGTTGCTGCTCACTCAGCAGATCTAAAGCATTTTCTTTAGCACACTTGATTTCTGTCCTCGTGAAAGCACAAACAACACAGCCGCCATATTGATTCGATCGTTTTTCGCCGCGGAATGGTGGGTTCCAAGTGATCGCTATGAGAACGAGCGATCGCGAGCTCAGAGTGATCGTTGCGTTTCAATTGAATACCAAAACAGCAAAATCAATCGCAACTGATGACGTATGACGACTAACGATCACTAAATGTTTCAATTGAATGAGGCCTTAAATCGGTATGGCAGATCCGATCAAAAGCTTTTCCTATATCTAAAAAGCAGGCTGCTATGCATGATTTATTAGTAAAGGCTTCTCCTATTGTTTCAATGACGTTTAAAATTTGCGTAGTAGTTGAATGTCCGTGACTGAAGCCGAACTGGCGTGCAGGCCTTCGATCGAAAATATTGGAAACAAATTTATGATATTCTATATGGCAACACCTTGCATTTCGGTGTACGGTAAATTTAAAGTAAATTTAATGAATTTAGCTATTTGTGGCAATTACAGCTTTTATTATTTCCTTTAGTCACTTTATATGTAATAATATTTACATATGAGTTATTATAATTGAAGTTTCAAAAAATGAGAAATTGACCCTTTATGTAACGTTAGACGCGCCATTTTGTTTCATTTGAACAAAGCTTGCAGTAGGGAATTGGCGTGTTTCTTGTTGCTGACGGATTAGTCAAATTAAATATGAGTGCTAGCGATAAACAAAGTGAAGTATCTGTTCAGCGGAAGGAGGATTCTTTAACTGAAAAGGAAAAGGTCCAAAATGATGTAAAATCAGATTCTTCTCCTCAAAAAAGATCTGCTGCTGAGGTAAGTGTGATACCGGTTTCTTCATTGCATGGCGGCCATGTTATACAGTTGTTGTTTAATGTACATGTTCCAACTCTCTTAATAAGAATTTCGTAAAAAGCATATGAAATAGAAGTCTTAAATGTAACTTTAAACTTGTACAAAAAAATTAAAACGAAGAATTTACAAATTTGGTTTTGTTTCTTCCTCTTTTATTGCGTGTGGGGGGGGGGTTGTTAAGCTATTGTGTCGAGTCTAATAAGATTGTGGTATGAAAAAGTTAAAAGAATTTAATTTCGTTAAAAGAATTTAATTTCGCTATTGTATAACACATGAGATGCGATAACTGAATAATATGGTACCATAATTTCTTCGCAAACTCCTAGCGAGTTCATTTTCTCATTAGTCCAATATACTTATAGAATTTTAGAAACCCTCTTTTTTTAATATTGTAATAATTTTGATGACTTATGTGTTAAATTAGCAAATGTACGCTTGTTATCTGAAAAAGCGGGATATAAATGGCAGTTTTAGAAATTTGGGAAGGGGGGGGGAAGGATTAAATTCGGGATTTTTAATTTCCCAGTCTTCGGAAGATTTAGCGTTGTATTAAAGTTATTAAAGAAATATTAAAAAGCACTAGTTTTATTCATATCTTGAGAAAAATTAATAATTTTGAAAGAATGCTGTGCCATAAGATACTCAGCTACGTCTGATATTGGCTATTCCGTGGCTTCGCCATTTTACCCTCTTCGTTTTGTGTATAATTAGTAAGAGTGAAAGTAACGAGAATATTAAAAAAAATTGTATTTTTGACGATTTGCTAATGTATCATGGGATGATGTATACCTTATTCTGAAAGCGCGCGTTAAAGAAAGGGTAAGGTAGAGTAGAATGGAGAAATTTTAACCTTTTTCCATTATCAGGAGGAGAAAGCTATAAGATTTTTTTTTTCGTTTCTAAAATGATTTTATTTAAAGCTGGAATAGAGACCCAAGTTGTAGATATTTTTTAGTGTTTATTTAAAGACACTAAGTGCTTTATATTTTACACTTTCATTGACACTTTAAATTTAGAATTTCAATAAAATAGTTTCAGGATTTGGGATGGAATAACGTGCAAAAGCCAAGAATTCAGGTTATTTTTCTCAGATGTCTACCTGATGTGGGGATGATTTGCTACTAATTAGGAAGGTGGTAGGGGGGAAATGCGAATAGTTTAACTTTGAATAGAGTTGCTAATTGGAGGGTAATTTAGTTGAATCATTTAGCTGATATACAGCTTATAACAAGTATGGAATATTTCAGAACGTTTGGTAGCTGAATGTATTGGTAGGTTCATATTTTTTGATGCACTACTGTAAAACTTTTCTTTATTAAAAGACAGTTGAAATCTAGTTGGTTTTTAAATGTATTTTTATGGAAATTGCATTGTGCTGTGGTATTTGTTAAAATTTGATGACTGTAGTAATTAATTTTCCATGTAGCATTTCTATGTGTGTAGAGCTATGAATTTGCAGAACCATTTCAAAGAAAATTGTAATTGTATTCATGAAAACTATTGTTATTTGAAATTTAGTATTTTGAGAGTACAAACTCAATTTTTCTTGTAACATCATTAGTCTATAAGTATGCAAAATTTTATAGCATGCAGCAATTTTTAGTTTAATATATTTTTTTTTTCTTTAATAATTTGTGTACTTTAGCCTGAAATGCTTGAAAATGTCAGTCTGATTTGAGCAGACCTTTTCAAGAACCAGTCTCTGAATATTGTTCTCATTCCCTTGGATATTCTCTCAATAACTTCTTAAAATTCGTAATAGCCGTTAGATGGAAATTCATGTTAAGTTTTACCCTACTGTTTTGGAATTCTATGCTAGTCTGTCTTGTTATATGAATTTAGCAAAAGTAAATTGAGATACTTGCATATTAGTGCATCTACCTTGGCACCATTTGATGACTTTTAACAGAAGAAAAAGAATGACTTTTTACTTAAATACACATGTCAATAATCAAATGTAGTCACCACAGGGTGATCGTTTTTGTGTTTTTGTTCTGATAGAAATTTGATGGGTAACTACTTCCATAGACTAAGAAAACTGAAAACAATACCAAAATCCTGAAATCAGAAATGAAAGCCTTCAGTAATTATCAAAATACTGTATACCTTTAGAAATTTTACCTTAATTCTTTCCATTGCAGGCAAATCCTATGAGCAGATATTTCAAAATTGTCTATGGAAATTGTTGCAATGTGGAATACAACAAAAAGAATCTTATGAAAATCATGTTATTACATGTTAAAACTGAAGAATTGGTTTGCTTATTGTTGCCAGAGTTATGTGTGTATTGAAAGCTTGGCAAGTTATGCTAAGGTGCTGTTAATAAGTACCAAAGCTAAACTTGTATGGTTTTTATAACTCTTACATTATTATATTATTGCATATTGTTGTTTCATATTCATCTAGGGAATTTTTTTTGGTCCTTTAAAAAATAACTGTCTTAAAATGAAAATTGATACTACCAAGCGTTCTAAATTATAGTGTGAAGTAATTGCATAAAAATATAGTTAGCTACTTGATATTGCATAATTGTAAAATGATGAATTATGTGTGTATTTTTAGCTTTGTCAAATGGCAAAAAAATTTGTAAAAACTTTGATGTTGATTTGAAATCTTTTAGCTGATTTGTTCCAGACGAAGCCGAATATAGTACAAAGTCAAATCCACACCCACACCACCAATTAAAAAAAATTAGTTTTCCTTTAAAATGGGTGAGAATGGAAAATGTATTACTAAGGAAAAGAAAACTTGTGCCGTAAAAAGATTTATCTCCCAACTGTAATTCCTGCACATCATTTGCCAATAAATAAGGGGTAAGAAATTCCACTGTGACCTTTGCTTGATAATGACCACAATAACTTTTGTTAGGGGTATTTTTTATCTGATGTAGAAAACGTCTTTTGTGAAGGCAACCCTCCCCTTGGGCCGTTAGCCCTCAAGTGCTTTGTCATAATTAAACCATGTGACTTGAACAATACATAAAGCTTCTTGACATTTGTTTGTTATCGGAAGTTCCTTGTACTGGTATATTTTTGTTGGCATAGCAATGAAGCAGGGAGAAAGATTCTGAGCAACTGAAGCTTAGATAACATAGCAAATAATGCTGCTCCTTAACATTTTGATACTTTTTTTGCAGGCCGTTATTATTATAGCTATCTTATCAAAATTAAAGTTTGAATTTTCAGTTACTTTTAAAATAGTTTATAGATTGGAAGGTTAACAGTATATGGCATAAAAGAAGCTGTAAAGTATATTTCAATTTTATAACAGTTATTTTAATTTAGTGAACCTTTCCTGCCTTACCTCATTTCAACTTACAACTTCCTGCCAGAATCAGTTTTTAGAAATGCATTGAATGCAAATGAGGAGATAGTATTAAAGGAAGGTTCAACTGACTTCGAGAGAGAAGGAGAAATTCTGAGTAGCGTGTGTTTGCCTTTGGGCTTCTCTAAGCTGTCGTTACGCTTGGCATTATTATTAGGTGCCTTTTGATCATTTGCTGGTTAATTAAAGATATGGGCCAACTACTTTAGAATTGTGTTAGCTTCGGCTAAATCTCTCAGTGATAGTTCTTACTTTTAAGCCCAAATGGAGGCTTTTCTGTAAGCCGAAAAGCAGGGACGGACTGTTAATCTTGAGTGAATAAAGTATTTTAACCCTTCTTGAGTTTATGCTTTGTTATTTGAACTAAGCGATAATTTGCTTAACAGTTCACTAGGTTCCTCGACACTTAATTTAACAGAAGTGAGGAACTAGTCAAAAGTCTTTAATCTGGACTCGTCGGGACTTTGGCGATTCCGGATTAGGGGTTTTTTCGAATTGTAGATCATCAGTTTAAATCTGGTAAGATGGCATGCAGAAATTATAAAATTAAAAATATGAAACCGTAATTTATGAAATAAAGAGCAATTATGATCTAAAGGGTATCAAAATATAAAAAAAAGCTTTATATTTATTTGTTTACTTTATTAAACATTTTCAACGCGTGCATGCGTAAAGCATATATTACACAGAGTCGAAATCAGAAAATTGCAACCAGAAAACTATTTGATGTGTATTTGTGATATTTATAATCACCCCCCCCCCCCCCGCAGAGCAGCGTGAAATTGATAAACATATTTCGGAATGATTAGAGAATCAAAGAATATGCCTTTATCCATTTTTTTTGCAGCAGTACCACTTTTTGTTTGATGGACATTGGAACATGCTTTCGCTTTATAGATCCTTTGGTAGCTCCAGAATCGGAAATTCTTTTTGACATAATCAAAAGTTCAAGCTTATTTTTATAAAATTGCTCTAAACTGAAATAGATAATTTTAGCTTATACCGTCCGTTATACATTAAACGTGCATGCGTACGGTAACGCATGCGCAGAAAGTTTGTAGCTTTGAGTTCTGGATTATGGACATCCGGATTAAAGACTTGACTGTATGTAAAACTTTTTAATTTTTTGTAGATTTCTACTTGCAGTATATAACAGAAAAATCATTTATTGTACTAAAAGGGACCATGACAAATTGTGATTGAATGGGTGAAATGTCATTGTAGGGAGGATATGTCATTGATGGGTGTGATGTTAGTGGATCAAGCCAGAATATTTCACAAGAAAAAGTAAAAGTTTTAAAAATCATCATGGAATATGGATTTCAGAGAATATGTACCATCATGGATTTCAGGCAAAAAACTTCAACTGAAATTGAAGAACCTGAACAGTTAAGAGGTAAATTCATCTAACCCATCAAAACCAAAAAGTTATCTCTGGAACAAATTTATAACTATGATGAAACTGGTTTTCCTGGGAGTGTATATGAAATACCTTGGTGACTGCAGAAAAGACGACTGATGGATTTTGGTATGTGCAAATGCTAGAAGGGCATATAAATGTAAATTCTTCGTAATTGGAAAAAATGTATTACTTCAGGCATTTCAAGGAATAAAGATTTTCCTTAAGATGAGTGATCTTAAGGAAGATAGTGGTGAGATCATTTCAAGAATTTTTTAAATACCTTATTGTAACATCTGGATGGAGTATTGCAAGGTCATGGAAGGACATGCCTACATATATTTTTAAAAATGTTGGGTATAAAATATGTGAGCTGCCTTGTTTCATGGTGATGATAGCTTTCAAATTAGTAGGTTTTTGGAAGACAAAATTTTCCAGTTAATGGAATTAGTGAAAAAATTATATGAACCAATATAAAGATATGTTTTCCATTGTAATAACAGTGCCCAAGCATCAGTGAATTAATGTGTAGTGAAATCTGTATGGTTTTAAATCCAGAAAATATGTCTACCGATACCGAGGAAAATAACAATGAGGTTGCTCAGACTAAAAGGATTTTGATTGACAGTTCATTGAAAATTACAGTGCAATGCCAAGAATTCAGAACTGAACTAGAAATCATAGCTATCTATAGAATTATGGAGAAAGTATTAGCAGAAAAAACAAGCAGCTTAAACGACTTGCATTAAAAAATGCTTAATGAATTAATATTGAGCATTTTTTGAAAATTTTGATTTGCTTAAGGTCACTAATGATTCATTATTTCATAAATGACCATGGCTGGAACAGCTATCACAAGCTTGCCATCAGTAGTGACTAAGCGGTTGCAGCTGGCGAATGGGATGCAAACCCTGGAAATGCATAGTTATTACTTCCTCCAGTTTCCTTTCTTTTTTGGTAGGTTAACAGACTATGTTCTATTTAAAGTTGTGCCTTATTTGTCTTTGAATACAAAGTAAATTTCTGTATTATATGATCTATGGTACTTAAGCAAAGAATTCACTGTTGAAGCTTTACATACACAATTTTCAAGGTGCATTTTGATTGTTGCTTGTCAATGCAGTCAATTTTTGGAAATAAAAAAAGGTTGTCTTGCCATTTGTGCTGTCACTTCGTATTAATTGCATGTGAAATTATTCATGAACTTATGAAATATCGTATCAAATCCTTCAGTAGCCATTTATTGAAAATAAGTTGTTTTTTCGCTGTGTTTTAAGAAATGTGTATATGAGAATTTCGACATCATACTATGTGATACTTGGCCAATGAGTTGTGATAAAAGTGTTTGTTGCCAAATTCATGCAAAAATTTTCTCTATTGCTCATGGGCTCAAAGAAATGAGAATGAGTGAACAAGGGGAAAAAGGTAAAGAAGAAAAATACACCACCTTTTTATATAATTTTTAATCGACTGCTAAATGAATATAAAAAAAGTGATTTTAGCCATGATGTTAAAAGGGGTGAAAGCAAGAGACAGTTTGGAAAGTAGAGATGCACTGAGTTTAATAGCTTATATGAAAATTGTATTACTCAATGCAGAGTGTGCTCAATGTATCCTGAAGCAGCAGATAAATACCAGTTACGCCTACACTGTCTCGAAACCTTTAGTACTGAAACCTTTAGTACTGACTTGACTCCATCATTTAAAATAATTGGAAGTGTTTTAAAAGCAAGGAAATTAGTTTCCATGTAAAATGTTCAATGCCAGTGTTATACATGTAAAATGCTACTTGCTGGATCAAATAAGTTTTTTACATCATATACTCACTAGTGTTGAAAAATGATCCACTGTGATATCCTAAAGAAATCATGGGAGCCGACCATTCTTTAACATAGACAGCCAAGCTGAATATTCGTGGGAAAAAATTGTGTATATGGTGGGATCACCTTAGTGTCTTGTATTATGAGTTGATTAGACTGAAGGAAACTATTACTGGGGCTCTGTACCAAACACAAATGATGAGACTAAGCTGAGTATTTAACCCCTTCGCGTCGACTGTCACGTATACGTGCTAGCAACGAACACACTTATCTACCGGCCGACACGCAGGCGTGCCAGAGCGTTGTTGCATTCTCTACCGACTGTCACCTATTTGTGCCAGTACCTTGGAACGTTTCTCAAACTATAATTTCTGCCACAAGATGGCACTGTATGTCCATATGGTTTCAGATACATGTGCATTAGACCTTCTACTTGAAATGAGAGAAGCATGACTCACATACACGTGTTTTTGATTATATAAACAAACGGGGAACTAAATGTTTCCGAATGTCGTGATTTATGACGTCTCTTTAAATCGCACTTTATTCGCACGTGGTAGTTGTTTATTGTAAGTAGAAGTTTTATATGCGCTAAAGCGTTGCGTATTTCCGTTTACAGTTCAATTTTTAGAAAATAATTAGATCTTGTTAGACGTGAATTCTTTCTGTTTTCACCGTTTCAATGCCGAAGCGTCGAAAATGTTTAACAGAGCATGAAAAAGCAGAAATGACGCAAAATATTTCAGATATTGATTCTGAAAGATTAACTGAAAGACATTTTCCAAAACTTTGTTCAGAAGAGACTGATAAAAAAATGAGACGGCAATGCTTCGTTTGTTCACATTCCCGGAAAAATCCTCCAAAACGGCAAATGAGTTATTACGAGTTCAAGGAATGTAACGTAAACCTGTGTGTAGATCCCTGTTTTAAAATTTTTCATACGAAAAGAGAATTTTAAGTATTAGTTTTCAGATTATAATGTTAAAAGTCATAAAATGGTGAGTAATTAAAATAAAACGTGTAAATATGCATTTAAACAAGAAATAAGGTAATTAAAGTATATATATAAAAATATCTATAAAGCATAAGCCGTTTAAATACTCTATAGAGCATTATTAAACAATGCGTTGATACTTCGGAAATTTCATGGATTTAGGCTTAGTAGCAAAAAAGCCCCTGGCCCTGGAGAGACGCTCGCGGAAGACATTGCCAGCCTCCGCGATAAGCGTGCGTTTTCGCTATCCGGCTCAAAGGCGTTAAGGAAAAGTTTGCCCATTACTACTACAGACACGACAGAATTATTCTCCTGCACATTGAAGCTTGTCTATGTGTTGTGGCATCAGGAGAAAAACCTACTTTAAAACACTCAAATGGGAAGTAATCCGCTTTCTTGCTGTATCCACCAGACATTGCTCTTCAGATTGCTAGTTTCAATTGATGACGCACAGCTTGTCTGAGCAGTGTTACATATCATATGAAGGTACCAAAAAGTAGGTCAGTTGATTAATATCTTTTAAAGCATTCTTCCAGTGTGTTATCCATATGCTGCGGGCAAGATGGGGAAAAGTAATATCAAGTGATGGACAATACTTTGAATAAATTTCATCTTTTTTTCACAATAATAAATGCCAAGTTTTGATTTAAAAAGAAGCTAGCACTTATTTGTACTCCGGATACTATTGTCGATAAATTTAGGAACATTGAGGTTTCAAATATTGATTGTCAAATTTTTTGATTTATGCAAATTTCACAGGTAATAAAGTACCTTAAACATTTTCTATAATGGGATGTAGGTGTCATAAAAGCAAGTGGGGACGTCACAGAAAGGATGAAATTGTTAGTTTGTACAGTCACTTTAAAGAATATCTGTCATTTCAAACCCAGTCCTCTAAATAGTGAAACTGGAAATCTTGACAGATATTTAATGACAGTATGAGAAATTTTTTCAATTTAGTTTTGAACCTTTTAAATATGTAAATCTTAATTAGTTAAACATGTTTTGTTTGCAGTTATCTACATTGTATTTATTTATTTATTTTAGCTTAACAGCACAGAAGAGGCAAAACAAAAAGTACAGAAGGTAAGTCTTGGAAAAACAAAAAATATCTGTGTTACTTTCCTCCCCTTTTGATCTTTTTTTCCCCTTTCCTTTTTTAAAGGAAATTATCTGTCTTCTAATCAAATATATACATTCAAGGGATGATGAATAATTATGTAGTTAATTTTTTAGACTGACTCTATTGTAACAGTGAAGTATGGCTTATAGCAATTGTTTCAAAATGTGTGCGGAACAATGCATATTATGTAAAATAAATTGATATATGGGAAAGAGTTACAGCCTTATAAAAAACATTGTTGCAGCCTTTTTTTTTTCTTGCAATTAAAAATTTAAGAAAGAATGCATCAAAAGTTAGTGAAATACCATTTTAGAGTAAGAGAGGGGCTATACATGTTTTTGATAGAGTAAGATTAGGCCACTTCTTCCAGTTTTTCATCCTATTTCTTAATCTTGTGTTAGATCACTGAATCTTCCAGGTTTTAGCCTTTGTTAAGGAAAATGCTTTTGAGTAATAAGTAAAATATATTGAATGAATGAAACTTAACTGAGATAAATTCATCAGAGTAAATTTATTTTTATTACATTTGATTGGTATAAATTTTACTTGATCTGAGTCATCTTAATCTACTGTAATCATCAGAATTTTCTTTTTTCATATTATATTGTATTAATCTTATTAAAAATCATTTGATTGAGTTTTATTAATCTATTGTTAATAATTGTGAACTTTTATATGAAGCTTCAGGTCATGTTTAATTAATTGATATTTATATTTAATTTTGTTTGAATATATGATACATTTATAAGTATATCCACACAAATACTATACATTAATAATTATTTTTATCATATTAAAGTATTTAACAAAAGCTTTCCTTCACTACTTCAATATAAAATTGTAAGAAGGTTACTTAGCCAAAAAGAATTTTAGAATATTCAATTAAAAGCTAATATATTTTGCATCAGAATGAATGCAAATAGATGAATAATCTGAACCATGCATTATAAAGTAAATTTAAGTCACTCTTAAAACTTTTGTTCCTTTGAAATGATGCCACTGCACAGCATGAGAACTTCCTGGCTTTTTCACAGATAGCTTCTGAGTTTTAGAATTTCAAGGTTAGCCTCTGTGATTTTTTTTTAATGAGGTGATTTAAGAAATTTTATGCCAAACATTACAAAATATGGGGAAAAAAATCCCCATGAAGTGCATCAATTGCATTAGTTAAAATGAAACTTGTGTGTAGTTAGAATCTGAATTTTGTTTCTAAAAATTTGTTTATATTTGTAAAATAAAAAATAATTGCAATACAAAAAATTAAAACACGAGTTTAGTAAACTTTTGTTCATGTTCTTAGTCAGAATCTGGATTTTGTTTCTAAAAATTTGTTTAATAAAAATAATTGCAATATAAAAATTAAAACATGAGTTTAGTAAACTTTTGTTCATGTTCTTAGTGTGAAAGGTAAACTGATTATGTGCAGTTATTTGTATTACAATATATTGCATTCTCTATTAAAGAGAAAAATGTGAGGAGTTGATAAAAGAAATGCTTAGGAGCCTGGTGCTGTATACACTTGTGAAATAGAATGCTTTTACTGATTAGAAAACGGATATCTCATTCTTTTGAAGCATTTCCCAAAACTAAAAGGAAATTTAAATTTTGCTGAATTTAACATTAGCCTCTTCTTTACATCTATTATAGTTAGCATTATTAATCTCTTTGCTCGTAACATTGAGACTGAAATTCTCCCATCCTCCTGTGACGTTAGAGTGCTGAAACATCACTGTGTGCACAAATGTGTTTTGCAAACATACAGAAATAATTCCAGTAAAGTCTATTTTTTATTGAAATATTTGGAATCTTACATATATTGTTTAAGTATAATTTTCTATAAAATCTTAATACTTAAAATACAGCTGAAAGTTAAGTGGCTAGTGTGTCATGCAGCTGTACCACAGGTCCAGGGTTTGATCCCCGGGCTGAGTAAGGTTGATTTAGCCTTTCATCCTTTGAATGGGTCGATAAAACGAGTAAGTACCAAGTTCATTGGGGGATCTGCGACAAGCTGACAACTTGTCCAGGGCATATGCCAAGGTCAAGAAAGATGATTTCAGGGCATTGCAGGCAAATTTTACACCACTGAGTTTAGTTTTTTTAGCTGAAAGTTAATTTCCAATATTAGGAATGTTTACATATTTAAATTATTTCCATATAGTAATAGAATAAAGTTCAAATCAGTCCTTTTTATTACCATGTTTACATAAAATTTTTAGCTCTTTCTTCTGTGTGATATATTTCTAAATTATTGAACATGCTTTGTAAGCATTGCACATTTTGCATATGTAGAATAAAGTAATAAATAATATTCACAACAGGTTTACATCATAAAGTTTTATGGCATTTGATGTAATTTATGTGCATTTAAAATTAACCCAATTGTGATGGTCACCTCAGTCATTAAACTTTTGTCATGGGATGGCGTTCTCACTGCATACATTGTTTTGGAGGATGGGCAGCTTATGTTGCTAAAATTTGAAAAAAAAATTCCATAAATTAAATTTGTTGTCCAGTTGTTGGTATATTATGAGAGGGGCAATCAGGTAGTTATCAGAATTAATTTTAAAACTTTATCTTTTTTTAAAAAAATTTATGAAATAATCAGTTCTAGATTAATATAATTTTTGACATCTCAAATATACATGTAGCAGAAATATCCAATTGCACATTTTTTTAGCAAAAATTATTTGAAAGCTCTCAAGAAATCAGCATATATAATTAGCTTAAATAAATATATCCGTGTTAGAATCGCTATAATCAGTTTCCAATTCTGCAAAAATATAATAATGTGAAAAAATGACTTCATTTATCATTTGAGTATACACTTTTGTTAAATACTGGTTTTGGTTTGCCATTTAGGTATAAAATTAATTTGGTAAATGATACAAAGTATTCATCGTTATGCTAGGAAAAAAAAAAAAATCTTAGAGCTAGAAGTAAAACCTCTAAAAAGGTAGAACATGTACTCTGCTATATCAGCCTTAAAAGTGTATACAGAGCATTGACAATATGAATTTTTTATGTCAACTAAGGTAGTTAAAGAGCCATTACTTCACTCAATACCTGCAAATCTCTCATTCCCCAAAATATAAAACATTGCATAGGAAATGCAGATCGGTTGACAGACATACAGCTACATCCAGTCACAACAAAGAATTAAATGAGTATGTACACCCATCCTTGATGACATTCTGCTGCCAGATGCACATAAAACATTTCCATTCAGAATATCGAATATGAAGCATTGGGCCTTCAAGAGCAAAAGTGAAGTGTGTACTATGTTCAGGGCAGAGGCTAATTGTGATAATTAGACTTAATTATTTAACTGTTTCTGTAGTTGTAGAATACTTGTATGAAATGAATAAAATATTATTGTTAATAAATAATATAGTATTTTTCTAATTTCTGTTTTTCTTTTATTTTCAGACTGATCATAAGAGTAAGTACAAATGAAAACTTTATTCTTTTCTTTACCTTCATTATATAAACATGTTTTGTTCTGTATAATATGCTGCAGGAGTTGCGTTGCATTTTCTTTCACTAGTTTTATTTTAACACACTAGTTCAAGTAGTTTAAAAAACTTTAAAATTCATTTAAATTATCTTTTTAAAGTAATTTATTAATTCAATATATATTTTGGAAAAGATGTTTCATTTTTTTTATTACTCATGATTTTTTTTATCCATAACTTGAGGTTTTCTGTCAAATTGATGTAAGTTTTGTGGAAATAATGTTTCAAACTATCTCCCGTCTTTACTGAACTAAAATATTTTCCTTAACGTTGGCTTCCGTATGCTTCGTGTAGTTCACTATTTGAGGCATTCTCAATTTTGTAAGCAAGTGTTTTAATTAAAAGCTGTGATTTTAATGTTATCTAGTATATTGTATTTAACACAGTTCAGCTTCCAGTTCAGCTACTGTGTCTTAAGAAATCAGTACTAGTTATTTACATAACTTTCCTAAAGCAGATTCTTGCAGGTAAAATGCAAAAAGCATAGGTAGGTGGTCATTTAAGCATAATTACAAGTTGTGTAAACCAGCGAGTTTCAGCCAAATAGATTGTTGCCTCTTTTTTATAAACCTTTGCTGTGATAATTGTCTAAAAATGTTTTTATGTGCTTTTATTTGTTTGCTTTTAAAATCTATATAATTATCATCCAGTTACTTGTGAATATTCTTTGTAAAGTAAGTAAAAAAAAAAAAAAAAAAAATTAACTGTTCTGAATTTCAGTGTTTTAACTTCTCAAACATGAATATCTAATACAGCAAAGGGAAAAAATATTTTCTTTTTAGGTGTTTTTCCTTATTTAAAGAAACATATATTTGATACTTTTTTGTCCACTATTAGACTTGTCTTTAAACTTCTTTGGCCTTTGCCTGTTTTATGTTTCCATTCTTTGTAATGATTTGATGCTGATAATGAAGCTACAGCAATTCAGAGCAATACATTTGAAGATTAAAAATAATAGAAAGCTATGAAGGCCAAGTTTACAGAAGCATGAATACTTTTTTTATTAAGAATAGAAATTTGCACACATTCTGTAATAAAAAAAAATTCAATTTTAGGAATGTTTCTTGCTCACATGCATAATAATCTTAATTTCAGTCAGTTGTTTGCAACATGAGAACCATATTAATGTATTTATCACTTGGAAAAAAATAACGTATGTAAAAGTTACTGTGGCAAAATAGAATTACTGATTGTTTTTGTGTAGAGATTACTGAACTTTAAAACAGTACAAACATTTAGTATTTTAAACTTGTATAGGGATGCTAGTTGATGTTGCTCTTTTAGATTTTTTCCATATGATTGAAAATAGTATATGGCAACTTTAACAAATGTAGATTATAAATGACTTGGAAATAAGTAGTCTTGGTTAGGAGTTAAGAATAATACTGTAGTTGTTATGATAGAATAAAATTGGAAGTTTCGTTTGATCTTTGGATTGGAATATTTTTAGGATTTTAAGTCTGTGTTGTTACTGATGGTGATGTGTGGTGAAAACTTATGATCACTGTAATAAAATTAAAATGCCTTAGTCAGTCATTTCATTTATGGCATTTTTTTTAATCCAGGGTTTGAAGTAGCATATAATAAAACAATTATGTTTGGCAAATAAATATTAGGCAGGAAGCTAAGAAGTGATTCTTTTATTTATAGAAATTACATCTTTTTATGTGTGAATAACCTTCAAAACTGGGAAATTTTTGAAAATACCCACCCAAACTCCAGTGAAAAGGACATGCTCAATTATTTCATTGCATTCAATTATTGATAAATATTAATGGCTGAATTGTTGATGAATAGCCCTTTGCATGATGTGGAGTTTATTTGAAAATGTTGTTTGGTTGTGGTTTTGTTCTAGTTATTTGAGGAATATTTTGTAAATTTTATTGAGCTGTTTCAAGTGATTTAAGATCCTGCATGCAAAAACGATTAAGGAATTGAATATTGCTTGGATAACTGCAAGTATTTGAGAGCTTATGTATTGAAAATGTAATTATTCCATATATAAGCACACACACAATAAATGAAACTGATGTGAGGTTAGTGGTGATCTTTTTTTTTTTTTTTCCTTACTTTTCAGTTACTTGGAAAAAAACTTCTGAGGAAATATAATGCAGACTGTTTAAGAAAGTGTTAATATATGTCAGCATACTGATGAAATTTGCCTGGCCATATAACTTAACATCTTTTGAAAGAAATTGAGCTACTGTATAATTAATGTTGGTGCAAAAGTTAACATCTATTAAAAGGAAAGAATGGGTTTTGAACTGTATAGGAATTAAATTTCTTTATCTAACTGTGCAAAGTCTTTCTTACCTTTCCTTATTGCTGGCTGTATAAAAATATGTATTTTTATATGAATATCAAATTATTTGTTAATGCATAAATATTTTGGTTGAATACTAAAAAGAAAAAGTTTGGTTTTTGTAATTGGGAAAAAAATGTCTGCATTTGAATATTTATGTAAAAGGATTTTAATTATGTAAGGGCGAATAATTTTTTTAAATGTGTAATGCAGTGTAAAGCAGGCATTTTAACTTTTTTTTTTTATTCCAGTCAGTGAGTGTATAAAATTTGATAAATGCTAATATTTTTTGGGGAGAAGGGGCAGTAAAAAATTTTTACTTGCCCATTAACAGCTGCTTGTTAGGTGCAATTGTTTCCTCAGCATTTGCTGTGTTTTTAAGTGTTCTGAAATATGAAGGACTGTAAGCTTATTTTAATGGGTGTATGAAATTTATCAAAATAATAAAAATGGGAGCTGTCTGCTTTTTATAAAGTTATGGGATATTATAAATAGTTAAATATTCTGATTTTTATGCAGTAAAATTGCTCATTGTAAACAGATTTGAAAGAAATTGAGCTACTATATAATTTATTTAATGTTGGTGCAAAATTTAACATCCATTAAATTTTATCAAGCATAGCTTGAACTGGCAAGTGTTATAAAATATTAGAATGCTTTTCCAAAATAAAATTTGGTATTCATCTGTATTTCAGTGGTGTTTGACGTACTGCCAGTTATCTTAGTGGTGATTAAAGTTTCTACTAGTAGATCGGGCTGGGGCTCTGAAAATTTTTTCAGCATTCCGTCTGCGGATCCATGGTTTAGCTGCGTGCGTTCTATGCTGAAATCAGTAAGGAGAAATTTTCATGTCTATAAGCAGCTTTTCATGGCCTGTGTATGTCATTGTTTTGCTTAACGGTCAGTGTAGATCTGGTAGCAGGTAATAAAAGTTTTGATGTGTTAACCTAGGACAACAGCTGTGATGAAATAATTAGTTTTTGCTTGGATCATAAAACCCCTAAAGGTGTTTAATAATACTTTAAGAAGGCCCATTATAATATGAATGATGTTTATAAGATTGCATGTCTTACCAATAATGGAATATGCATATCCCTATTCATAGTTTTTTTGTCTAAACTGAATACAAAACTTGACATCTCCAAAATTATAATGACTCCCACCTCTTTTCTTTCTTGTGTGTTTGTTTACTTTTTTTGGATGATATTTTTGCTGCTTATCATGAAATTAGAGTAATTTTAAGAATTTGGTGACTGGTTTTCCCATACGATCTAGATTACTATATAAACTAGGTGGCTGCTTTTTCCATATGGTCTATCATGATGAAAATCAGAGTAATTAATATGCCTAAAAAACATTATTTTTTTTTTTTTTTGAGGAAGTCCTAACCTTAACCACTTGCACAAAAAAGACGTGCCACGCACGATGAGATGCTTTTGTCTTGTTTTAACGTGGTGCACACGTTGCCTAACGACGAGATTGTTTATTTCTCGAGTTACAGCTTTGGATTGCACTCACAGACGCGGAGTGCCCACTTGTTATATTGTAGCGCACGGCACCGCAGCCATGAAGTTTAGTGGTAACGTAAGTGGTTAATTTGAATTGTCTCAATAAAGCATAATTAGAGCTATGAATCATGTTCTTTGAATATTGTGTTTGTTGAGCTATGCCGTTTTGATTTGGCAGCATTGATTAGATAGCCTCACTAAGCTAAACAAGTAGTGGATTACACTTTATATGGGCATTCTCATATATTTTGCAGCAGATAGTAAATTGTGGTTTACACATATAGTTAAAATTCTTAAACCTCCGAGTGGCACAGCTTTTTGAATCTGCTTATGAAGACCTGTACCTATGCTGAATTTTTATATTTATTTATTTAATTCCTGTTATCATCAACTTGAATTCATTAAGTTATTTACATAATTAAAGAAACAAAGAAAGAAAAATGTTTTAAATTATAATACAAAAGCAAGCTACCAAAAATGTCATGATCAATCAAAGCCTGTTATATGATGGTCAGGCTGTAGAACAGAGTTTTGTGGATTTAATATAATACAATGAAGGGAAGTGAGAATACTGTAAACTATTGCTTTCTGTTATAATTTTTGCTGTAAGGGCAGTTTACCATTAAACGATACTATAATGTTACTGGATATTGCAATAGTTTCAACCCATTTATGCCGAAGGTTAAAAAATTTGAATTTTTGCATGAAATTTCTATATGTTAGGTAAAAAAATATAATAAACAATGATTTGGAGAAAAAAAATATAATAAACAATGATTTGAAGAAGAATTTTTTTATTTTAATTAGTTTACAAGTTATATGGTGTTCCAAAAATGGAACACTAGGCAAAACCATTGCTATAATGTTACAATGTATATAAATCGTGGGTTTCCTCTAAAAATGTGGTTAGTCCCATTATTCAGTAATTGGAAGAACACTTAACATGTAAAGCCACATTACATTTTCCACATCGAAAAGTGGTGTTTTTATGACATTGAGCACAGCGAGTTTGCTTTCCTTGCTTTATGATCTTATGATTTATGCCATCATAGTGTGAATCAATGTTTCGCTTCTAAGAGGTTTTCCTTTCCTGTCAGGTTCTGCAGGATGACCATGA